GAGTATGGTAACCACAGGGGGATCAGCTTGACCCCGGTTGTAACGAGACTGCGTCAGTCAATTGTGCTTCGTCGCCTTACGGTGGCTCGTAAGCTACTGACTGGAGAGCAGCTAGCGGGATTCCGGCCTGGTAGGAAGTTGACCACGAGCAGCTAGCGGGATTCCGGCCTGGTAGGAGTTGAGTTGACCACTTCGTCAGGTGCTAGAACAACGCCATACGTATAAGCGACCCACCATTCTAGTATTCCTGGATTTCGGAGGCGCATTCGAATTGGTTGATCGATCTGTTCTTTTTGAGACGCTTGCCCACCAAGGAATGCCCCGGAAGTTTGTAAACATAATACGTTCTTTGTATACTCAGACGTGTGAGAGTGTACGGAGAGCTTTCCATAAGCTTCCGTACACAAAGCGGTGTCCGTCAGGGATGCCCACTCTCTCCATTCCTTTTTAACTTTGTGATCGATGAAATAATGAGACGAACGCTGGAGGGTCTCCGAAACCATGGTGTTCAAATAGCCTGTGAAGAAAACCTTGTCGATCTGGAATATGCAGACGACATCGTTCTCATGTTCGAAGAGGAGGAAAAGGCGCAAGTATTCTTGGATGAACTGACCAAAGTCATCCCGTCCTTTGGTATGCATTTTGCACCCACAAAGTGTAAGGTCATGCTTGTGGACGTGCAGTCACTGAACACGCCCCTTACAATCCAGGGAGAGGTACTGGAAGTTGTGGAGCGTTTTACGTACCTTGGAAGTTGTATTAGTTCTGATTGCAGTGTGACAGATGAGGTGAATGCACGAATCTGCAAGGCTCGGGCCGCGTTTGCTAACTTGAGACACCTATGGCGTCAGAATGGTTTATCCCTGAATCTGAAGGGACGTGTGTATCAAGCTACAGTACGGGTTGTTTTGTTCTATGGCTGTGAGACTTGGCTTATTCGAGCAGCGGACCTGAGACGTCTTCAGGCGTTCGACAATCGTTGTCTCAGAACCATAGCTCGTGTGGGTTGGTGTCGGCGAATCCGTAACGAGGCAGTTAGAAAGCGTGTTTTCGGTTGTGTAACGGGTACTTCCATTGAAGAATGTGTACAGCACCAGAAGCTGCGTTGGTTGGGACATGTGTTACGTATGTCGAACCATCGTTTGCCGAAGAGAGTGCTGTTTTCCATGCCCAACTCAGAGTGGCGTAAACAGAGAGGTGACCAACCCATGAGCTGGCAGAGGAGTATGAAGGAGATCACGAAACGCTTGGGTACTGTCGGTGCTACTCGCCTTCCAGGATGGGGACCGCATGATCCTCACTTTAGCTGGTTGGAGACACTACAAGATATGGCTGCCAACCGATATCAGTGGCGTTCTTGTTGTCAGTTTCTATCCAGATTGCTTGAGTGAATGTCTGGAGGTGTAGGCGCCTCGGAATGATTGTGGTAGGCTAGCACTAAGTCCCTTCCCCGTCCACCTTTACTCTTTTCTTTACAATAAGGCTTTTAAATAAATCATGGTTGTACGGCAGTGAAGCGTCAGTGTTGAGCACTGGTGTCATGCTGTCGATGTTGATGATGATGCGTTCTTTGCGCCACCGCATTTTGTTCTAGAACGATACAACTGTTGCCTATGCTCAACCAAGTGGAAATCAAAGAAACAAAATGGGTAGTTGACGGAAAGGGGTATTGTATTGGCCGTTAGATGAGAGTTAATCCCCTCTATGTAATCCTCCGCAGCTTTTTCTGGATGCTTGTCGGACAGTCATCCCCACTAAAGCATGGGACATTTGCTTTCACCCTTTCACTTCAGTCCGCAGATAGCTGTGGGAGGGTAATAAATAGGATTTCCTCGATGAAGGCTACACGAAAGTAGGACGTTTGAGAGCATTCTGGTTGGAACGGCTTTATCTGTCTCTCGGGTGAGCAACTACCGGTCTTACTGAAGTTGCAAGAAGCTTTAGTATAGTTTTTCAGAGGCCTGCTGTACCAATAAAAGTTTACTAAGCCTGTGAATTGCCGGTCGCAATTGAGATTGACAGGGACCTGGCTCTCCATATCTTATTATCCAGACTGAAGTCATCAGTCGTTTCGGATGGTAAGCTGTTACCTTGGGGATCGCTGCATAAAAAGCACTGCATTTCTTCGTGGCCCGCTTAATGCAACCGGTGCAGCTTCAATATAGTGAGCTTCCTTTAAAAAAACAAATGAATTCTGTTCGTCCAATCTGTAGGGTATCCATCCCCTATTGTACGTTCAACCACATCTATTTACTTTGCTCTCGGCCTGTTTCTTCAATTCGTCTTGTATACCCATCCGTTTTTCGTCAGTCTGCTTTTAGCGCTGTCACCCGACCTTCGCAGTATAACCGGGCGTTCCGTTCACTGCTGGATCTGATTGACCTATTACCTCCCCTACCGCCTCTCTGTTTCGCGGTCTTCCTTCATGTTCTGCGCACGAACTACACAGCCCGTCGTTTCTACGAAAACCGTGGTTTCCGCTCGCTCTGCATTCATCACGCCTGCTACACTATAGCCGGTCAGCCGGCAGACGGATGCACTTATGTGTTACACGTTAACGGTGGTTTTGCCAAGCCACCTAACCTGTGGACGTATCCTTATCCGTACCGTAACCAGTTTTCTCGTTATCATATCCGATGTAATTAACATTGACATTCTCTGCGATACACTCCGCTCATTCTTTGGAAATCGCTGGTAACTTTTGATACCGTCTTTTACATAGAATAAAGATCGAGTTAGCCGTGACGTTTCATACGCCAGGCTTAACGCTTCCCTGGAAGCTGTGAACTTCTGTCTTATTCATCTAGTGCAACGTACGTCAGTGTGCTACCTTATACGTTAACAGTTTTCGGGTATAAGTTATTTGGTGCCGAAAGAGAAACTATGGATCAGAATATATAGTTTCGCGCTCTAGTTTCATCGCCCTCATTGCTTTTCATAGAATCTGTCCGCTACATCTAACTCGTACAATGCTGCGCTGTTTCGTTACTCGGTCAGTCGGTTCGTTTCAATATAGTAGACTGCATACAAAGCCTATGGAACGGTCTTGCGGGTAATATTTCCTAAAGTGATATTTAGGTGAGGGTTGGTCTTCCCGTTTCCGAGTTATTAACTGTGCTAGCGATAACTTGTGTCCTGGCCCACATAACACCCCTGTAGTGGCGCTGATTTTTAGAGGCGTTAAATCCTGATATCTAGTTAAATGGAGCTGTTTGTTGCTGGAATTGTTACCTGGTACCATAAAAATGTATTTGGATGAAGTTGGTCCTAACACGTTCCTAGGTATATCGTTCCTACTGCCGATGGGTACGGAACATGTGTTACAAGACATCGCCCAGCTTCCGATGCAAAGTACATTGGCGCCAAAAAAGTTTCGGTTTTTTTCCCTCAAACATGCATACTCCGTTATTCGTGCACCGAAATGTATGCTTTCGGACATTCACTTCAGTGTTGTCTGAGCAGTGCTCCTCTAGTTCTGTCGCAATTATTTTTTTCGGTTAACACTGAAGAGGAGAGATACTGGAGTCAAGTTCCGTTCTTGTTAGGGCTTATGAACAGTGCTTGTCCTTGGCCGTGACTAATTCGAACCCCAGATGTCTGAAATGCTAAGCGAGAGTCTTGCCACAGATATACCAGGGTACGCTTGACATGTCAGAATTATCACGTTCTAACACTGCGAGGGTGTTCACATTTTAGCAGTTTGATTAAGTCGCCAGACGCTTTCATCTTATCTTCCCATCTATCACTAGTATTCCATTTTCATTTATGTTGAACCGTCAGGGATGTGCGCATTCAGACTGATCGCTTGAACCCTTTGGCGCTAATTTTGTCAAAATGCAACAGCGGCTTTTGCTCAGGTGCACTGTTTGGTTTCTCACATAACACCTGACAGATAGCACTAAACTGGACAATTTGTAACTCATTGGAACACTATTGCTGTTATTCTGAGTTCCAGAACAGAGTTGGATTTTCGTTAACATTGGCATAAACGAATAAACAGCTACAGGTGCTCATCAGGTACCGAACATGTCGCTGGAATGTAAAATCGTGTGATCTTCACCCATATTAGTAGCAGCTGTAATGGCACCGCTTCCAGTAATTTTACTGTATGATTTAATCATACACTTTCAGCACGTGCATCACAGGGTCACCTGGTTCACTGTGAGACGGTGGACTCAGTGATTGCTCTCAGTCCAACGTGGCAGATTCGCCAGTTCATTCAATCTCATGGTTCTCCTTACAAGCACTGATGCCAACGACCTCGAATCTCTGTTTTGCGGCTCTCGTTCGTTGCTTCTGTAGATTAAACTCAACACTAACAACTAGCTGACACACAAAGCAAAGCGTCCTGATCACGATTGCCACACGTTTGTGTTTTAGCTTGCGTACGGCAATTTCTAATTGGAGTGAGAGATATAGCAAACCATGCCACGTTATTGGCCATTGGTAATAATGCTACGAGTAATAATAAACAAACCTGATCGTCCACATTACTGCTTGATTGTAATTGAACTAAATATCGTGTTCGGAAGTTTTCTTTAGATGTCTCGCTCTGCAGGCTTTAGGACTCACTGGGTTCCAGTAACGATTACGTAGGTTCCAAAATTGTTTGTATGTGTGATCGAAAAATTTCCTCTGTTTAGATTGTGACTCCACCATGTACGCAGTCGAACATGTGTTGTGTAGTGATGCGAAGCCACATAAACGCCCAATTGATGCAATAGTATTTAGTTGATTAAGCCAGAGGGAAGATGCTCGTAAGACTAGCAAGATTTGATATGTTCAGTACAGGTCGCAGGATTCAAAAGGTCATGAACTATGCCTGTGCCAACTCAGAGGATGGAACCGAAATCTTGTGTGCCCTCCTGCTGAGATTTGAATACCAAAATGGTCTAGTTGCATTCTACGGACCAAGTGCTTTGTGATTCACGGCGCGGGATTCTTTGTGTCGTTCGGGTGTTTCTTCTCTACTGGGCTATCGATCATCTCAGCCATTATGGAATGTTTTTAGAGGCCTTCTAAGCCAGTCTCTTCTATCCGGAGTACACTCCTTTGCAAACTAAGTGTCAGCGCGAAATTCAACTGAATCGTTCGCCTATGATATGATTAGTGTGTTCAATGAAGCAGTTTCCTTTCCATTTTATCCTGGCAGATATCACCACAACTGCAACCGAACCGATAAATTACGTGAGGCAAAATTTTTCCGACAAGCTGCACTCAGTTCCTTTAGTTGACAAGACTAAACAGTGATGAGCAGACGAATAAGTGCAAGCTGAATACCAAAGAACTTGTGAGACTGTTAATTATAGGGAATTGAAATGTCAAAATCTCGTAGCATTTGTCTTTTTGTTTTGACGAATTAGGACAAAAGGATAGACCGTTCCAACCATTTACTTACAATATGTCAACATCGTTCTTGAGTGAAGAATCACAGTGGAGCACTAGTGTTCAACACGTATGTTGATATCAGTGATGTGTTGGGAAGTAGTATATTTCATTTAATCACCTAGATAGCGGTTAGGTGCCCACGCTATGCTGTCGTTCACCGTTCCCCCTAGTGCTTCACTGAGTAATAGCATTCGTCTTACCGGCTCATTGATCCATATCACCCACTCTCCGTGAATTACAAAAACCCCTCACTGATGATCGTGGCCCCTAATTTTCGAATGGGTATAGTATAAACACTTTCAAGGGCCATAGCATATCAGACTGGTCCATAAGCTCAGCTCGGGAATATAATGTAGACAACCTACTGGGGTCATTGTTAAAGCGAACTGGTTGGGCGTATACTTTTCACTATGATTTATGGTTTCGTAAGTAAAATATCTAGACGTAAGACTCAGCAATACATTAAGTGGCTTATTATACGGATCAGCTGGTTGTGCATACAAACTGCCTATTTTACTGAAGGAAACATAACCCACTTTCTAACAGTGTCGCTTAATTTTCCTCCTAAATGTTACCGTTAGACGTGTATTAACCTAAGGATAGAATCATAGGAGCGATTTGTCTTTCAATGGCAAGATGTGGATATTCGAACATTGGTCGCGGTCTTTCATTTCCGGAACCGTGGGCTGTCTTTCGCAACCAAACCAACCAGATCACGTTAGTTTTAACATCCAAGATCTATGGAAGCTGCATAAGGAAGAGTATAGCTGTGGAACAACTCTGCGATGAACGCAGGCATCTAATTTACAAGGGCTGTGTTCGTGAGGCAACCAGTGCATGTTAGGCAAACGTGCTCTCTGGAAGCAACAAAGTGAGTGATGTCACTTTGGTGCGAATGACTCAGTGAGGTCCGAATTAGCTTAGTCGAAAGAAAACCGGGACACGTTGCTGTTGTGAACACATTCCACCTTACTCCTCGCTCCCCTCGCCGCTAGGAATAGGT